ATTCATTGGAATTTTTTTTTTGGTTGAAAAGGATCCACGACAACTGTCTGATTGCTGTTTCGTATTATTTCTTGTTGCTGGACTCCCCACTTTATCAACATTTCACCATGAGTCTCAAAAGCGAACACAACAAAACTAATTCTCTTATTCAAAACAGGTAAGTCATTTAAGTTCAGATATTATCTGAAAATAATTAGTATTGAATTAAAAATTTTACATGTTAAAAAATACTAAACTAAAACAAAAATCAATAAAACAGTAAAAATCACTTTTAAACTTCTTTAAAAAAAAAATTCAAATATAAACATATTCAAAAAATATGTATTTTTTAAAATGGTGGAGTAAGATATGTTATCTTATACCTGGAAGACATAATATTTAGATCATTTATTACATAACTAATGATTCTAAGAGCCATTTGGGAATGATGATGAGTTAACTTTGTTCAATTAGAAGTCTGCATATTTAAGATAACAGAAAAGTAAAGAATAAAAATAAAATGTGATATTTACTTAAGATAAATTAAATTTATGTTTCATTTTTATTTTGAAACAAGTTATTTTTGTTTTAAAACTTCACATTAATTATTATAAAATATTTAAAAACATTGACAACATTGTAACAATTAAAAATAATTTAATGTATTTTGATTGAATTTAATATTTCAATGTTAATTATATAAATTTAATCAAGATTTATAAATTTCAATAAAAATATTTTAACAATAAAATTGTTTCTAAGTTTAAAATAAATGAACATTGCACAATGTACAGTACAGTTTTAAAATTGATGAAATTTGGTTAAAAAAAATTAATGAAATTATATGAAATTGATATATAACTGAATTATTGTCATAATATTGCATTCATTAAATATTTGAAACTGAAATTATTTTCAATTTTAAATTTGATATTTTTATCAAATATAATTTGTGGGAAAATAAGAATAAACGTAGTAAACAATAAAACTAACTAACTACTTAGCTAATTGATGAAAATTGAGATGCAACGATGTGACTAGTCTAGCATAAGTGAGTCAATAAATTGTTGAGCTTTGAGAGGGAATGAAAAACAATTCATATATAAAGAATGCTGAAATATTTTTCATTTTTTTTTTGTGACCAATTTAATATGAAATATTTAGATTACTTTTATATTTGACAAAAATTAATAGCAACATACAGCATAAAGCAATCACAAATATTAACTGAAACTTTGGATATTTAAAATTCATACAAAAAATGCTTTTGTTTGCTGCAAAAACATTTGTAATTAAATTGTTTTTGCTAAAAACAACGGTTTATTTATTTATAAGTGCACCACTCCTACGGAAGCATAACACTAAGAATACATAAATCAAAATACATGATACAAAGTAAACAAAAAATTAGTATTCAGCTTTCACTGAAAACTAAAATGTGAAACTAGAAATTATAAATAGTCTTTTCTTCCATATTATTTGAACATAATTGTAAAAGGCATTAAACAATGGCTTCTGAGCAAGCTTATCGAGTGGACATGGCCACCTGAAACCAAGCGTAAAGATTTCTAATTTCAGAATAAGTCTGTCTTGATCGTAAATTGGATAATGATAGATCATATGGTTGACAGTGTCTAGATTTTCTGTAGAGCAAAAGCTAAAGGCAGTTTCTGCCCAGTTATACATCTCACCAGGTAGCTTCTAAACTTTCCATGCTCAGTAAGTAGTTGAGCAGCAGCAAATGTTAAATCTCTAAGTGGTGAGAGCCTCCATTCAACACTAGGAAAATAGTCTTATTGTTCTACCAGTTTTACTGCTCTACCAGTTTTACTCCTCAACCATTGTTGATTCCACTTTTGCATAGCGTTATCATGAATATAATTTTTAAGGTTGCTACGTGAGAGAGGGATGTGAGTATAATCCAAGTCAGTGCCCTGTGTTTTTTGCAGCTGACTTAGCCTCAAAGTCAGCTTTTTCATTTCCTAGTACGCCAGAATGGCCAGGAACGAATATAAAAGTTATTTTATTTAAAAGATTTTTTTATATGGTGCTGAATATATGTGATTTTATTGCTATTGCAATTGCGATTTAATAGTGCTTTTAGGACAGACTGAGAATCACTGTAAATGATGATAGACAGAGATTTGTTTGGTAGTGAAGTGGCCCGCTGAATCTTCAGCTTGATAGATGGAGATATGTGGGGGGTATCTGTACCTTTTAACATATTTTGGGCAAAATATGTCAGCTTGGAGGAAGATACAGAAACTTGAGCTGACATGAAGGAGGCTTTTGGACCCATCTGTGTAGATATTAATTAATGTCTGCATGATTATCCATGGAGGAAGCAGATGACACCAAATAACCTTGTTTACAGGATGATGATCAGAGAGAGTAGGGTAATTGCAATGTGGTAGCATATGAACAGCCGTAGATAGGAGTAGAGACTGTTGTTGAGCCTTAACGTTTGTAGTAGTTTAAAACCTTTTCTACAATACATAATGCAAAGGAAGGAGCTCTGCTTGTATCAGAGAGGCATTAGTAAAAACAGTTCTGCAGTACTTTGAAATTCTGATGGCAAACTGTCTTTGAAGAGAGAGTAATTCCCTTACTACTGGTCAATTTGACTCGGAAAGCTTTAACAGCATTTGCATATGATTTCAATTGTGATTGATAATGTATTTTATCATCTTGCATTTTAACTATTTCTTCTTGTACCGTATTATATTTACCTAAACCAGGGGTCGGCAACCTGCGGCTCGCGAGCCACATGCGGCTCTTTGGATGTGAAGCTGCGGCTCTTTAGTTCCATAAGCAAATATTATTTATTTTATCAAAAACAAAAACATTTAAAAATCGTTTTGAATCGATTAACGAGGATTCGGCACCGATTCTATCTCTCAGTCACTTGTACTCGCTTTTCATTGCACCTCTCCCCCGTGACACGCGTCGTCACTGTCATCAGTCTGTCGGATGCTTTCGAATGACGCCGTCGTCAGATGTTTCTATGAGGTTTAATTCGCTTTCGACGCAAGACAATTTGGCATCTTCACCAGTGCTTTGGCTATGACATATAGTTTGTTGTTTCGAGTAAAAGAGTTAGAAGCGAATTATCTTCTCAAAGTTATGTAAAAATTTTGTGGCTCTTTAAAAACTTTGAAATTTTGTAAATTCTAATTTTTGGCTCTTCCGACTCAAAAGGTTGCCGACCCCTGACCTAAACAACATAAATGGATGTCAGTTATCCTTTTTATTAGTTGATCCATTGTGTAGCTTTCTTGTTGGTTGACTGGGTGTTTATTTGCTACGGGCTGATAAATACTTCTTAGTTGATTGATAGCTTCTGTAATTCCCAGTTTTGATATTTCTTCGAAAATCGCAGACATTTTCTGGGGACGCTCTAGGTTTGCATCCCAGCATCATGATGCAGATTAGGCTTAGCTATTGTGCTAAGCCGTTGGCACAAGTGCAGTTTAGTAGCATCAAAATAATACAAATTTTGTAATACTCATATGCACCAAAGGTTAATAAGCAAAATAAGACAACCAAATATTTTAGAGAAATTATAGAAATAATTAATTATAAGATTAGAGTCGGAACAAAGACAAAGCTCTGTTCAACTTGATTCCACCTGGTGATCACTATGAAATGCTTAGTATAGATACAGGTAAATAATAAATTGCTAAATGTGTGTTTTGTATATCAAATATTGGTTGTTTGGCTGTATTTTAAATCATCACTTCTGGTTTATGTGTGAGGACCCAAACAGGGTTTGAAACGAGGCAATTAATGACTTTTTGAAAGAGTCAAGTTTCATAGCGCGAAAGAGCGAACTTAAAGATCAGATTTAAACAATAAACCGTTTGTCTTGTTAAAAGATTTTAAACAATAGATAGAGTAAAGTTGAAGAAAACGAGGTTGGAGAGGAGTCATGTTCCAACGCGATGTTGACCTTTCCCACGCCCTTTGTTGGGTTTCGAATTGTCACCATGTGACGAGGAGAGACCAATGGAGAGGCGACAGCGGTGGAAAAATTGATAAAACTGCGTTTTCGGGAACTTTACGAGGTCTTGGGTTTTTGTGTGTTGTGCTCATCCTGCTGGGATTTGGTGCTCATGACAGAGACACAACATAGGCTCTTTCGACGCCCTGACGCTGGTTTCGCCAACCCGTCATGTCCAAAAGCACCAAGGTCACATACAGAATCGCTGAGGTTCGACTCGTCAACCGAGGACATATCTACAAGTGCTGGTGCGTGCCCCAGGGCCCTCGTTCTCTGCGTTCGGCGTGCGAAACACCCAAGGACCGATTGAACTGTCGAACTTTTCCATGTTTGTTGGGAACTGTTTTAGAAACCCATCATTGGATAGGCTTTCGCCTGACTTATTGGATTGTTGTAAGAACAATTTATGTATATTATTAAACAGTTTTATATGGTAAACCTGTCTCATTGAGTCATTCTGCACCCACACGACAGTATTGACCACTCGGCTGTCGAAAACACCTCACCCCAATCGGCTAACCTCACATATGTTGTTTCTCAAAGAACACTTTTTATATGTTAGCAAACTGCATTATCAGCAACTTAGTTTCTTTCACCATGATGCTAAACAACTTAATAAATTGTGACAAAATTGTAAGATGAGAGGACCTGAAAATGCTATAACAGTAATCAGAACAATTTTCATTTAACTAAAATTGTTATGATTTCTGTTATAGTATCTACAGTATGTTTTGAATTGGCATCTAGAACATGCTTTTACATACTCTAGATGTCAATTGAAAACATGATACAGAGAAGAAAACTCATAAATATGAACTTATCTATTTTTATTATTTGTAAATCAGATTAAAAGATATAAATTTAGTAGATTTGAATAACATTTGATTGAAGTAGAAATTTGAATGTTGATCAATAATAATACATATTTTAAAATTATTATAAAGCTGTATTTGCATAAATTATTATAATAGTGAAAAGTATTATTTTTTGTTTTAATTTAAAAAAAATTATAATTTTATTATATGTCAGCAAGTTTTAAAAAAAAATAATGTTTTTATGTACTTTTCCAAAGGACAAATATAAAAGAGCTCTGGCTGAAAACGAAAATATACGTACAAGAATGAAAAAGCAGATTGAAGATGCAAAGCAGTTTGGAATACAAAAATTCTGTACAGATTTACTTGATGTTGCTGATGTCTTATCAAAAGCTACCGAGAGTGTTCCTAAAGAAGCCCTTCAGGAAGATAATCAACATTTACTAAATCTTTATCAGGGATTGCAGATGACGGAAGCACAATTACAGAGTGTCTTTAGGAGGCATGGATTAACACAGATAAATCCTCTAGGAGAAAAATTTGATCCAAATTTGCACGAAGCTATATTTCAACAGGCCGATCCATCGAAAGAACCTGGAACAGTATTTGTTGTTAACAAAATAGGTTATAAGTTAATGGAAAGGACAATTCGTCCCGCTTCTGTTGGTATAGTAAAGGCACCTTAGAGGATATCACAATAAAAATAGAGACTTTATTCATATACATCTTATGTAACATGGCACAAATGGCTTAGCTGAGTTCAGATACAGTATAAATCATCATTCCATTTCAATATTAAAAAATACATTATATTCCTTATTTTAAATAAACATATTAACACGTTCAAAATTTTTGTTGCTTCTGGTTATCATTATATTTAAATAGGTCTGTAATATTCTTAAATGGCATTTGATGTATCATTTTGGCAAAGTCTTGAATAAAGAATGAGAAAAGTATTTTTATAAATGTGGATTTTTGCATTTACAATTTGTTTGACATTGAAAGACAAATTTTAATTTGTTCTAAAAGTTTTTGTTTACCAAAATCGATACATAATAAAAAATATTAATAATTTTTAACATAAATTATTTTAAAATACTGTACTTTTTAAATAACTTTTATAGAATTACTTCAATTTGAATTTCAATATGCATGTATTTAATTAGGTTTGCCAATTTTAAATACATTTAAATTTCATAAATATATTTTACTTCTTTTGAATTCAGATGGCTTTCCACAATAATAATCAATAAAAATGTGCATTAAATAGATTATAAAGTTGTGAAAAACTAATCTTTACTAAGAAAGCATTTCATTGATGCTAATAAATTGCACAAAGAATTCCATACATTGTTTTTATATAAAAAAAGCTTCTGTTATATTTCCAAATTAAACAATTTTTATTACTGTCATATTTAAGAAGAAAAATTTGACAAATAATAATTTCACAAATGTTAAAATTCCGATTTTAACATTTGTAGAAATCTTTTAGTCTTACAGTGTTTATCATAAATATCAGTTAATTCATGTTGAAATTCTGTTTAAATATATTCCAAAATATCATAAAAACTTTCATAATTCAAATATCAAAAAGAATGATGAAAACAATTTATCTTGAAATATCACATCTTAGTTTATCATATATTTAAATTATAAGATTCAAATTTTTAAGATGTGATTTTGAGGAAAAAAGATAAAAATACATTTATTAAACTTATTTTCCATAATAAAGTTTACATATAAATGAAATATTGATACTTTAGGAGATTATTTATAATCATGATAAGTAAAATAGTATAGTTAGTAATTTCATTATTAGAAATATACAAACATTGTTCAATTTAAATTGAACTAAGTTTACTAGTTTTTTTATATACTGTGTATATGTTTAATATAACTTGTTGATAATATATATTTGATATATAACTTGTTTAATAACTATAAAACAAATCTGTAATGCTTTAATTTTTTTCTTTTCTGCTGTAAAATAGTTTTCAATCAATGATAAAAAATATTAAGATACATTTTCAATTGGAGAAGACAAAAATTACTAATAATTCATTGTCAATATAAATGAACTAGATTTAATTGTAATAAAAAACATCCACAAAACCTTTGTATCTCCAGTTGTAAAGTTTTTTAATTAGCAACTAATGTTTTCAATCTTAAACAGATTTTCAGGTCTGAATACATAACCAAAATTAGAATGCAAAATAGTTTGTATTCTAATTTTGGTTGTGTATTCGGACGTAAAGATTGTTTAAGATTGAAAACGTTAGTCGTTAATTAAAAAACTACAACTGGAGATACAAAGGTTTTGTGGATGTTTTTTATTACAAAAAGTACTAATTTTCTAAAGTTTCAATGATTTTGATAATAAATATAATCCTATTTTGTCTGTTTAAGGATATATATAATTGGAAACTTGTTTATATATAATATAAAAACATTAACTTATACTTAATATCATTCTGTAAATTTGTTTCCTTTCAATGAATATGATTATTCCAAAATTTCCATTACTAATTTACTGTCTGAATGTATAAAAAACAGTATTATATTTAAAAATATATCTAACAAAAAATGAACTTTCTTCCAATAACTCAATGTTTAGGTAAGTTGTTAGTCATTTTCTATGCAAGGTAGGTAGATAGCTGCATAGTTTTATATTATTTTGAAAATTACTGTGTAGACAACAAGACAACATTAGAATTCTACTTTATTATTCATTTGACTATCATTACAGTTATTAAATATTTTTAAATAATACATATATATAGTGCTATTTAGGTAAAATAAATAGTATAAATAAAATACCAGTCCATATGTTAAAATGATTGAAGAAGGAATCTAGATATTTGTCATGTATAGGCCTTATTATAAAGTTACTTCTCAGTCCATCTATAAAAATATTTCCAACTTATTTTTCTAATTTACATTTTTAATAATTGTTTAATGTAGCAGTTTCTGACAAAAAACAATTTTCATTTCACACAGGGAATGTTATATAGGAGAGAAATCACACCTAACCAACATTAAAAACATGTATTTATTAAAAATTGAGTACTTTCCAAGGCACAGCCTTCCCATTAGGCAAAAATCAAATTCAAACTTTAAATTTGATTTTTGCCTGATGACAAAGGCTGTATGTCTTTGAACGTACTGGCAGTTTTTAATAAATATAGTGTACTGTACATGTTTTTAATGTCAGGTGTGATTTCTCCCCCATGTAGCAGTTTTTCTTTCTTTAATATAAAATTTATTAAAAAGTTAAGATGGCTGGATTACTAAGAAGGTTAAGGTGTCAGCCTACTACTACATACATTCCATAACATAGAATTCCATACATTGTTTTTAATTTGCTGCCATATCTTTAGGTCTGACCTGTAATGGGATTGGCTAGTTTGAATGAATGATGGACATTGACATAAATTTTATACAGTAATTAATGTAATTTATAAAACTCTGAAATTAAAATAGTTTATTTCTTTTATTTTCTCTTTTATAATATACAATATATAAAAATAATAATCAAAGATTTACTGTATATAAATCATATTTATACATAAATTCTATCAAGACTAGAATAACATTTTTAGTTGGAAATTTGATTCAATAAACAATGAAATCTTAAATCTGTTAACTCTAGTAGCTTATGAATAAAATCTAACTTCAGTTTACATTATGCAGATCATACCTAAAATATTTGTTAAAGTTTGGTAACATGTTAGGGAAGCTCCTCAAATATAAATTCTTAGAGTGAAAATTGTTTAGAAAACTTCAATGCTTTCAGGCTATATGCCTGTCATCAGGATTTACGCACACATATATATATATATAGACTGGCTATAAAGTGAGTTTCCTAAAAAGTTTTCACTCTAAAACAAGGCAATTTGAATTGCCCTTACAATTTTTTATTTCTTATAAGAGTAAATCATTAAAAACTACAGTAGCCCTTCATTATATTGCATGTCATGAGACAATATATGATCTCTCTGCCAATTTGCTTTTTTGTGGGTTCTGTTTCATACAATGGTAGTATCAAGATCAATTATTGGAATAAGATAATATTTCTTTGCTAGTAGAAATTCAATAGAAACCAATTTTTTAAAAATTATTGGCTGAAGTGCTTCTATATATTTACAAGGGGAAAAAACATGATATATTGAAGGGATATTGTAATAATGAAAAAATTTCACATTACAATTAGCAAGATAAATGAAATTTGAAAACAATGATTTAAATGGTTGGAATTTTAAGTACTATTAATTTAACAAAGTTATTCTAAACTTTTAAAAAGTAAAAAATAGTCAACATCATAATATTTTTAAAGCCTTGCCATAAATTTTAAATGACAGTTATATTACATTTAACTCAATGTAGTTATTTGTATAAATTTTAATACAGAACTGTATTGTGTTTGTTGACAATATAAGCAGTTGTGATTGTTAAAAAATATTTATTGGTGTTATTTGCTAATCTAAATGTTAAAAATGTAATAATACACAAATGTTAAAATATATGAATGGTTTTGATATAAAAAATCAAGATGTTTGTTTTGATTCTTTTTAACTAAATACCAAAAGTGCTTTAAAAATGACAAATTGGTTATGCAATAACTTTAAAAAAAGTATTTTTTTTACAATTTTATTTATTTAAGATATGGAAATGTGATGATAAATTAGAATATTTTAAAAAGATGAAGTTTTTGTGAACTTGAAAATGGCTAAATAAATAGCCAAAAATTTGTTTTTTTTCATTAATAATAATTCTAGTAAATGGCAAGACTATTTTCTAAGTACAGTAGATTTAGTTAATACAACCCCTCCATCTATAAACCATTGTATCCAGAAAATTTCTTAATAAAAAATACCAAATTTGTACAAAACCTCATCTGAACAATGGTTTATTTATCTGAACTAAATCTTCTTTAATAACTTTACAAAGAAATAAGGATTCGTAGCTTAAATTTGTTGCATAGTCATATCACAATGATTTTGGTTAGACATTCTTGATGACTAACCAAAATGCAGATTCTTATTTACACTAAATTTTCATTTCATTAAGTCTATTCCTTACTCTATGAGAGCTCTCACTCATATTAATCTAGATTAATGAGTTTTACTGTATCTCTCAAAACTTCTAGTGAAATACCTTACAGTGAATAAAATAAATTTACTAATATATTTTGCTAGAAGTCTAAAAGACTACTACAATAATAGTGCTGTATTTCTAAATGTATCTTTAATATTTATTAATCCACATGAGAAAATTATTTAATTAAATATTATTGGTACTTGACCTAAATTCATTCATTTCTTAATGAATGAAATATAGAATACTGTTTTTATTTCATAAATGATTTCCAAATTAGTTTTGATTGATATAAATTAAGGATGATTATATAAAATTTTAATAAAATATTTGATATAAATTTTAAAAAACCTAAACCATATATTTTTTCTTTGATAATCTTGAAATATTCTTATATCTGCCAATTATGAGTCAAATTTTAAAGTATTATTAAACAGTAGAAAATGTGAAATAATGTTTGTATAATGTTTTTGGAACAAAACAAATCATTGGATTATCTTATAAAATATATTCATTTTATAAATTAAATACAATAAAACTGCTGTACACAATATACACTTATCATCATATTGAATTATTACAATACAACAATTGGTATATAATAAACATTTTCTAAATTGTTTGTTTTTTCCATATCAACTGGAATAATGCTCTTGGTTATAAAGAAGAATGAAAGACATTTGACTTAGGTGTTGATTAAAACGAATATGTGTATCAGTTAAATGATACGCTGAGTTAAAACTTTCAAGTCAAAGAGAATTTATTTAGTAGGCATGATATTAATGCCATCCAAATCACTGATGTTGAATATGATGTTGGTAATTGTCCATTTTCTTCTGAAAATAAAATATTAAATTTATTCATTAATTAAAAATATAATAATACTTTAATAATTTGTAAAAATTATGAATGTATGATTAGGAAAAATACAATTCTAAAAATAATATTTTATACTCATTATTACTAAATTAAATTAAAATATTGTTCTGATTGCTTCTTTCTTTTTAAAAAGTTATTCACTTCAAAAATGTAGGCAATATATGTTAATATAAACTTATTTAGGCATTATAAAAATTTACATATAAATTCTTATTTAACCATATCAGGTCTACTGTATATTTTTTAATTAAAATTTTTTTAGAAGTTATTAAATTACTTCATTTCAAATTGGAGTAGTAAATAATTAGACAAAAAATTTTACATTGATGAACTATTGTTTAAAAACTAGTGATTTTGTTAATCTCTGTATTATATAAAATGTTTGTATATATACTCAAGAATCATGTCCAATCCATAGATAGAGAAAAAATTAAACAAAATAATCAGTGAAAAATTTAGTGAACATTTCTAGACAAAAAGAATGTAGTCAATGTTCCATTAAAAAAGCATAATATCCACAAGTTTATCCACAGTTTATGGAACCTGCAAAATATGCAGGTTCCATAAACTGTGGAAGTATAGCATTATTTCTGTTATGATTTAACCATCAAGGACAGTTTGTTACTATTTTACTGTATGATACTGACAGTGATAATGCCACAAAGATACTACACAGACAATTTTATGAAAGGGAGGATTATTGGAAGAATAGAGGCATGCTAATTGCAGACAGATGTATTGCTCAAAGTCACATCCAGGCTTTATACTACTATTCAAAGAACAGATATTGGATGTCAACCTGGAAGTGGATGTCTAGGAGTTACCAACCCTCAAGAGGATTGTTATTTGACATTAATGGCACATTGTGAGAGAAGAATGTCTGGTAGACAGCTTTCTATAAAGCTAGTATCTAGTTACCAGTGTTATTGTTTTGTGACAAACTGTCTACAGGAGGCTTTAGAAATGGTCCTTTTTGCCAGAACCCAGTACATTGTGTTTCATTGGTGAACAGAAGAGCTTTTTTAGGAATGAGACAAGTATAGATACAGTCTACAGATTGATTCTAATCAGATTAGAATCTGGATAGAGCAGGGAATTCAATAAATTCTCATGGACATCAAGAAATAGACCAGTTTTCAGGTGGTGGTATCATGGTCTGGAGCAGTGTTATGTTTAATGGTCTCACAGCTCCATATTTTTGCAAGAGGTGCCATTACTGCAAGAAGATAGAGATAAGGATAAGAAACACCATATGAGACTTTTTTCGGGTGCTATGGGTGCAGTTATTTTCATAGACAATAATGCCTGTGCACATAGGGATGCACTTGTCAATGACTTTCTTGATAGTGAAGATATTCATTGCATGGAATGGCCAGCAAGATCTCTGGACTTAAAATCCATAGAACATGTGTGGGATGTTCTACGGAAATAAATTGCATCCATCAGCCTCTATTAAAAACATTTCAGAAGATTTAAAATATTCTTATTCAGGAATGACTTTGTTTATCATCTCTTTTGGAGAGATATAATATAACCAGTATGACTGTACAGCTTGAGTGCATACAAGCAGGATATAACCACATGTCATATTAATAATTTTCTGTGCAAAAAGATTTATGACAATGTTTAGTATTTTTTCTTGTTGTTTATGGTCTGATGTAATTTAGACTAAATTTTTGTTTTTCATTTTGTATAAATAATATATTATTCTGATTGTATGTTAAGTTTTCTGATTGTATAATATTCTGTTTTAATCAGTAGTTCCTGAGATATAGATGAAACAAATGGTTATGCTTATTTTTGGACACACATATTTCAATGTTAATACAGTAGAGTCCCGAAAATTCGGCCTAATGTGGACCGAAGGATGGCCGAGTTTGTGAAAATGCTGGGTTATCAGGAATGGGGTTAAAAAAAATAAGTACGAGTGTTTCCTCAGAAAATACTGTACTGTATTTGTATATATTGTTTGCTTGAGAATACAACAGAGAATAAACTGCCCATATATCCTTAAAGGAAAAGTATGTACAGTACTTTATGAAGGCAGAGCCTTTACTACATGAAAATGAAAATTAATGAATACACTGTGTACAGTAATTTACTTGATAAGACAGACCTCAGAAAAATACTTTATGAGAGCTTTTATACTTTTATAAAGCTGTCTATAATGAAAATTAATTAACTAAGGATTTTTTTGCCCTGCCAGGGTGTGGC